CCCATTTTTCAAACATTTGCCATGCGGATGAAGATAACAAAACGGGGATTGCCATCATCCTCAATTTTAGGCAGAGGAGGGGGAGGAGTCCTCTGGTATTGACGAGCTGCCATTCCTTTCTTTCCCTTGGCTTCAACAATCAGCAGCCGGAGGTGCTTTTGCCTCTGCCCCTTGTGGGGTCTCCTTGTTGAGACCAAAGAGTGCCTTACAAGAGAGTCTTCAACATTTCTTGAACTAGAAATCGGCAGTCTAATCAGTGGATTCAGAGACATGGTAGCCTCCATATTGTTCTCAAAACTATTATCTGTCACCCTTTTCTGGAACTGTTGTTGTCTTTCTTCTTCCTGAATGGAAGTGATATGAAGATCTCTAGGTCCGTTTCCCCCATTGCCTGGTTGAGAGCTCGAGGAAGATATCATCGTACAGTTTCTTAATTATTCCCTTCACTATTTATACAAAGAAAAATATAGAGTTCATTATAAGAATTTATTGATATTCCAAATGGTTAAAGGTTTTACCTTTTGAAACTAGCACTTAAGGAGGCACGAGCCTGCAGATTTTCCTCCTCGATCTTAAGGAGGCACGAGCTTGCAAATGGTCAAAGAAACTGGGTTGCTGCAAAATGCCGAAGAAGCTGATTGGCTTGAAGTTTTAATAAGTTGTCAAGGGCACAAGAGGTATATCAGCTCAAACTTTGAGTTAAAAAATCATTTTCCGAAGCAACCACGTTCCTTTTCAGTGCGTGGTTGATAATTGCGTTTCCTTTAACGATTTCCGTCGAAAATGCACTTTCTTTCAAACCATGGGGTATCGATAGGTATGATTTGAAACCACAAGGGGTTTTTATGTATAATAGCTATACCACAGGGGGCTTTTATGTTTTTAACCCTTATTAAATTAACTAATTATCCGGATCCAAGACAATCAATTAATTAAACAACCATAAGCACTGCAACCAAGGAATATGCAAATACCAATAAATAAAAGGAAAAGATTAAATTAAAACGATCTCACAACTTTTAGGCGAATCAAAATATCCGTTGCTCCTTGACTAAAAAAAGGAAATTAGCTCATAATTGATGAACAATACCCACGCAAAATTGAAGCACCAGTCGCGGCCATCAAGTGGGTAAATTCAATTCGTTCCGATTACCAAGGAAGAACAAGCTTCAGAGAGTAAATTCTGGTCTCCGCCTTGCTTACACATACGGAGGGAGTAAAGCAACCAAAAAACTAAAAAGGACAAGTCAAAGGCTGATGCTTCATTCCTTTTGACTTGCGTAGAAGAATTCCACTATCACCAACTAAGAAAGAAAAGTCAAAGCTAAAGGAAAAAGATAAAGCAGTCATGCTAGTCCTCTGCCATCCCTTGTTCCTATTCTAATTGCTATCTAATACTCCTACCTAATGGTCTTCCCTTGTGCGGCGGCTCTCTCCCGAGAGGGAGAAGAAAACTCCGGAGGAAGAAGAAGCACCCCTTTTTTCCTGCACAATTTTCCTATATAAAGTAGTGCTCCTTGCGGCGGCTCCTGTGCGGAAAAATGAAGACTTCGGCCCAATTTGCCCAACAAGGGCTCACGTTTTGTTGTTCCAAAAATGCCCCTAGGACAAACTCTATCATCTGGACTCTTTTCCTGCCAAATTAGCACCTGTTATTATATTTTCGTTCTACTCCCTGAAATAAATGCAAAATACTAAAAGTGAGTAGAATCCCGCAATTAATCCACATCAAGTCAGGTAATAGGAGGAATTAATAATGAAATAAATGATAAAATTGCAACCTATCACATATCTTGGAGGTTTCTTAGACATTATCTACATAAATGAACCATATTTGAGATGTTTTCATTGGCCGAATATTTGAAAAAGGAAAATTTGCATACAAAGACAGATTTGCCTTGGAAATTTGTGGGACTTTAGTGATTTTGTTAACCGACTTCCCGTACGTATTTTTTCTATGAAATTGACAGAGGAATAGCTCTTATATGGTAGTGTAATACTGCTAAATTTGGTGCCATTCCGAATCCGTTTCGATGTTCAATCAAAGTCCCAACGTTCGTGAATTAAATCTGAAATTTGGCCTAACGGTCTCACTTTTTCAGTAAATTTGAGCCGCCATATCTTGGTGCTCAAAACTCCAATTCTTGTCCCACTTGTTTTTTTTTGAACTTTGTTTGTAACTCTAATTGAGGTCCAAATTTCAAAGGCTAGTTCGTATTGTGTGAATTTTACCGAATTTTCAAAGTTGGCCAAAAATTAACCCAGAAACTGTCTCAATGGTCCAAAACAGCAACTTTGAGCCGAATTTTGAATGTTATCCATTTGGAATGTTGGAAAAATGTCTTTTTAGGAACTTTTAGTACTTTGGAAGTAGTTTCTAACGGTACCAAGTTTTCCAATTTTGAACATACAAAAAGTGAGATACGATTTTTCAAAGATTGAACCTCAAATCGAAAATTTTCAAACTTGACGGGAATTGAGTTTTTGAAACTCTTCCCTACCCTTCAATACTAATTGACCATTTTGAACTTGTCTTCATGAAGGAAATCAGTTTTTTTTCCTTGTGTTAATAAATACTACTTTAGAACCTTGAATTTTGAACAAGTAAAGTCCCATTCCATGGCATTTTCTAGATTGTACAAGTGTACAATCCCTCTCTTGATAAGAAAGGATTTTCAAGTGATAGTGTGTAATAGATAACTATTGTTTGCTCAGGTGCTCAAAGAGGCCTTCACAAGGATCTCGAGGGGAACACCTAAAGGCTTGTTTACGCACTCACTCTCTTATTTTGATTGGTGAGTGTCAAGTGCATGAATTTGTTACTAAGTGGTTAACTGTTTCTTATCCGTTATGTGAATTTGAAATTTTGAAACGAATGTGTACTTTACCGCACTCGTTCACTTTCGAACGAAATTATATTCGTATTTTGCTATGTGAATTCATATTCGACTTGTACATAGTAATGTGAATATGATTCGTATTTGTGATTCGTATTTGTGATTTATATATGTGATTCGTATTTGTGATTCATATATGTGATTCCTATTTGGAATCGTCGATTTGAGCGTTGCTCATCGACTGATATTCGTATTCGTATTCATATTCGTACTCGTATTCATATTCGGGGGACGTCCAAACTCGTTGGTTAACTTTGCGATTCAAGCCAGCATGGGCTTAGTCGATAAGCTTAGCAAACCATGAGATATTCGTAGAGCATGATCTATTGGAAAGATTTTGTTCGGCATTAGTCGCGCAGTATTGCCATGATATACTCGAGTATTATCAAAACTTTAATGAGTGGACCCGGTAAGGGGTGTAACGGTGACGGGATTCGAAGAAAAGTGGCGTATCTACAGATTTGATACTTATGTGGTTGACGGAGTGTCAACATGAGTTATGATCAAGACTTTGACTCGACTACGTGAAATTTAGCTCCTGAGAGCTACAGTATCCTTGAATTGTTTCCGTTTATTTTTCCTATTCGAAGTGTGAATTATTCGAATTTGATAGCTTTATCTACAATGTAATTGTTGTTGCTACTTGGGTTATCTGTTTGCATGTGTGTTTCTTGGTCTTACTGAGTATTGGCTCATTCCATTAGTTTGTTTTCCTTAACAGGAACCCGATTGGAAGGAGTTAAGCAAATGCCGACTTGAGGCACTTTTGTATTAGTGTTTTGATTGTAATTGACTAGACACTTTTGGTTGTTGTCTATTTTGGGGAAAGTGATTGTAAATTTGAAATTGTAATGTAAGACTGGATATTTATGTATGGAAATGACTTCGTACCTTTATTCCGACTTTCATTGTTAGTATTAGACTAGATTTGAATTGGAATTGTCTTGAGTCCTAGTGAGAGTTGGGCAGGCGTTCCGCGGATACCCTTGGGTTCGTTCTTGGAAGAAGTGGGAGTGTCACAAACTCGAGCCGCTCAATTCGTTTGCACCCCTAACCTAACCTCCGTCACAGTAGATGTGTAGAAGTAATGATCTTCCCCATTTTGTTTGGGTTATCTTTTTATTTCATTACGTTGCGATTGAAATCTTACTTGTTTGATAACTTAATTTAATATTTAAATTTAATAAATTTAGATCTTAATATGTTTAGACGTATTTACTAACAAAAAAAAAGAACATCTTAATCTTAATCTTAATCTTAATTAATTAAGTGGTTTTGAATTATTCAATCAAAACATACTAAAAAAAGGTGGTAAATTGTTTAATTATCACTTACTGCAAATACAAGATTTATACTTTTATTGTGTCAAAATAAGTTTTTAGTGTGCTTAACAAACGTTAACAAGAGAGTAAAGAAAACTATTGAAAATTGTACTAAAGTTTATATTTTTATTCAAATAAATTGCTTGTTCTCAAGCCTATAACAATGAAAACAATGATTCATTCTTTATTTTTTAATATCTTATTTTCAATGAAACTAAATCATACATCATACCAGTAAAATATAACATTTTAATGCCATCATTAATCAATCAACATAAGGATAAAATTATATAATATATAAAAATCAGTATTTAGATGTTTATAATTATCCAATAGGCATATGCCTTGTTCTCGTTTGGTTTAGATTTTTGTAAAATCTAACTATGTAAAGTGATTATAAAGAATTATCAGAATCAGCAAAAAGTTACTCTTTGAGTAATTATGAATTTTAGTATTGTTGGTTATTAAAAATCTATAATCTAAATACAAAAACAAACAAGAACATCTCAAAAGCTAATTAATCATAATCAAAATCTATAATTAGTTAAAATAATCAATTGAGAACAAGCCTATAATGTATTCATTGTTCAAATTCAAATTAAGATAATAATTTGTATTAGATTTATTGTTTAACAATTTAATAATTTGATGGAATATTTCTGAAATTCAAAATGTTTTTTTTTTTTTTTTTAAGAATGCAAAGTGGGATGACGATTTTGCCCTCACTAGAAACAACAAAAGCCCCAAACTATCCCCATGGTTACCATCTTCCCCATGCCCTTCCCCTCCAAGTCTGTCAACAACCTCTTTTTCCTCACTAACATCTCCAGTCCTTTTAAGGCTTGTCGATCTCTCCTTCCTCCCATTTCTCTACTCTAGCTTCTATGAGCTCTCCCCTTTCCGGACTTCAAAATCCCTGGCGCCTCCAACCCCTCATCTCCCTCCCCCAGTCCCTAGCTCCCCTAGTCTCCTTATCCTCTTCCCCATTCTTCATCAACCCATCTAGCTATTCTTGCCCCCAAAAATCCAAAAACTGGTGAGTGAATTATTTAGTTGAATTTTCAGTTTTTTTGTAGCAAAGATGTTTTTTTTTTGTACAGTGGGTTTCGGTTTTCACATTGGTTTGTAGAGTAATTTATTGTTCCTTGGTGGTGGTGGTTGTGGCTATAATGGTAAAACCTGTGATTTTGACTGAGGAAAGGGAATAGTAGAAAAAAAAGGAAAGAAACATTATTGTTAATTGAAAGAAAGGGGAAGGCCGAGCAAGAAAGCATGAAGGATATAATTTTGGTAACACATTTGTCATAGGATTGTAATTGTCATTTAAGTTAATAGCAATTGGCCAGATTACTTGATCTTGTGTAATGTGACAAAAAAAGATTGAATGTTTAAGATAGTATGGAACTGAAATCCTTAGTGTATGGGGCATATCACAATCCAATGATTTAAGGGGTATTTTGCATTTAACCCATTTTTCTTTGGTATGTTATCTTTCTTTTCCATTCTTTTCTTTTTCAAATTACTATTACTTGATGGAGATAGTATCATGTGGGTTCAATAGGATTATTCTTCGTCAAGTCTTTTAGGTTTGGAATTCTCAAGTACATATTCAGATTTCAATTTTTGTGGGAATCTTTGGCTGTTGTTTATGAATTTCTTTAATTTTAAGTGGTTTGAGCTAGTTCATAGAATTTTTGCCCATTTAGTAAATATAAAGAAGAGAAATGAAGAAATGGCTAAGTTTTCATTCTTGTTTATGTTTTTTTTCCTTAGCAACCGCAATACATTAAATTAATTTAATTGTTGTAGTTAGGCAAGTTTGACTATACTTAAAATGGTTCTAAGGGTTTGGATGTTAGGGTTGTTTTTGGAGTTTACATTTTAGGGGTATTTCATTTTGTAGATTTTCCTCTCTTTTTTTTTTCCTTGAAGGTATATATCAGGTTTCGAGCTGTGAATTTCATGGGGTTTTATTGCAACAATCAGGAGTAAAAGTGCTATGTAGATTTCCAAATTTTAGAATATTTTATATGTTTGTTCTAGGTAGCTTATGGAGGTCAAAATAATAACAACTTGAGGATTGGGTTTATGCGTCAAACTCGGGAATGTTTGATTTATGCATCTGACTGGTACTTCTACAATTGGAGACTGTAAAGTGTTACTAATCCTGAAGTTTTTGTCATTTTTTTAATTATATATTCTCAAGTCACATTTGAAGCAGTCATTCTTTTTCCTACGTGATGTTCTTGTTATGTTATTTAGCTTTTCTTTTGAAAATTCTTGTACTTATTGTGCAAATGATTGTATAAGTTATTTTTTTGCTTGTAAAAGGTTTATATATTAACTTTTATTTCTGTGTACTTGATGCTAAAATTTTTCGCTGTTTGTTTATGTGCTCTATTGGCTTTAATTAATCAAAGATACTCCTAAATGGTTGGTGTATTCTTTGTCATCCTTTTTGTGCTTTGAAGGATTGAAACTTATAGTGTCTATGGTATTGCTGCAGACCAAGTAGACCTTACATTGGAAGGACCCATCTATCGGCAGGTTGAAGTTAAATGGGGTCTTCAGAAGGCATACAAGCAGCAGCTACAGTGTACAGAAACCTTCTTAAAGCAGTAAGAAAGCATATAGGTAAGGAAGAGCAGAAGGCCCAATTCTCTGACTTCATTAAGCAGGAGTTCAGGAATAGCAGCAGTGGACAGCAGTCCATGGATCCCTCTTTCATTCAGCAAAAGATAAAGCTTGCCCATGATTACACTTTCCTTCTGAACAGTGTCCACCATCATAAGGTAGTCATCTATTAATCATTTGATATAATGGGTATGCATCTACATGGATAATGACGTGGTCTGGATATTGTTTGTGCACCTTAGCCCTGTGGAACATCTTTAGTTGCACAATTTCAAAAAGGACAAGGTTTTATTTGTGTGGAAATGTGATGTTCAACTGACTTGGATTTTAGTGGATGGCAGAAGGTAGTAAGTAGTCTGGGTTTGGATATTTTTTCATAATGGTTATATATTATGCTAGAAATTTCAAGCTTTTTTTCTGCTTACCTGGTGCTTGATTACTGTTATATTTGTTCTCTGGTAGCAGACTCAGCAATTGTTCTTGTAATATAACTGTAGTCTATCTTGGCAATTTTAAGAAGCCTTAGAAAAGAAGGCAAAGCAACTCTTGCTGGCTGACGAATAAACCAAGATTTATAATTGATGTTTGTAATTTTTTATAATTTTGGTGAAGTAAAAGATGGACTCATGAAGAAAGATGGAATCTTGAAATGTTGGATTGATGATGCTTTGATTTCATTAGAAATTCTTAAGCTATCAGGTGACTTTTGATTTCTTGTATCGATGTCATAATGGTCCGGGTCATTAAAATATCAATGGTCTATCTGCCAGGGTTCACTGTTGATAGATTGTTTGCCTCTCTTAGCCCCTGATGTATCCTGATGGATGAGGATATGTGCTTGCTCTTGGTATATGATCTGTGGCTGATTTTGTTTTTTGATTGTGCAGGACTTGCTATTTTCCTATAATATTGCAGTTGACAGATCAGATGAGATGAAAAAAATTCTTGGGAAATCTGCTGCTAGTGTGGGTCTTCAACTTCCTGATGTCTATCAACCTTAATGGTAAGATCTCATCTTATCATCTTGGAGATGCTTTTGCCGTGTTTAATGTTTAATTGGTTGTTAAGATCTTGTCTTATTTCTATTATTTCTAATTATCTCTTAGATGCTTTCTTTGTGGCCTGCATGTTCCATAAGTATGGGTATTAAAGCTAATTTAGACTGAGAAGTTGATGTCTGGGATTTTCTGTTCCTTGTTTGTCATCATCATCTTCTTATTCTTATTTTTCCCCCTCTCTTGGTTTTCCTTCCCTTGCTTTCCTTTCTCAGTATTGTTGGTTGGTTTCAGAAATGGCTATACTTTCAAAGTAATTTGAGTTAAAAAATCATTTGGACATGGCATTTGAGCGCAAAGTATGCTTAATAACCTCACTGGTGTACAGCTTCTAAACAAACTTTACAATCAATTATCTGTTTTTGATTTTCAATGTTATTTTGCTTTCCGAGATAGAATTCTATCTTCAGCTGCTTTCCCTGACATTTAGGGCCAGTTTTACCTATTGAAGTTTGGTTTCTCCGGAAGCATGCAATAGGTTAAGAGGTTTGGTTCGGTGGAAGTTTCAGGAAGACAATTCTGTCATTTATTCAAGAACTGAGAAGTAGATATACCCGTGGTCCTTGTTCCCTCATCTTAGTACGGGAGTTCAACTTTCACTGACACACCCCTGCTCTTGGATTTAAAGAAAGGCTTTACTTAGTTTTGAACAGAAAATCTCTGATGTCATAAAGGAGAGAACCTTTTTGTGCAGACAAAGTACAGGATTTGCTTCTCAAAAACTTTGAAACCTTAGAATTATTTATCTTGATTAAAGGAAACCTCCCTTACTTCTTTTGGCTCTTCAAGTTTTGAAGAGATGAACACATAAGCCAGCTGGAAGCGGTTCAAGCCTGCGACATGAATTGATTGGGAGGATATATGAAATAGTTAATGATATTATCTGCAGTACAGTGTCATGACCCTTGCAAGAGAGATATTTTTAGGTACAAGTATCCCCTAAAAGCACTTTCAAGCATGGTTTAGCAATGATTGGGAGGGTATATGTAGGAGGATTCGCATGAAATTTTGCCCAACTCCATATCTGGAATAGAATATATGAAATACGTATGAACACAGAAAAAATTATACAGTGTCATCAGCCTTGCAAGAGAGACTAATTTAGGTATCATTAATTCCCACAGGCACTATAAAGATATGTTACTTAATTGTAATTCTACAGAAAGGTGCTGTAAAAGTCTAATTTCATTTAAAGATTTTCATTGGATGCACTAGCAAAAAGAAAAGCTTTGTAACAGTGGACGATGGAATGAAATGACAGTTTCTCTTACTCGTAGTTTTCAAAATTGTTTGTTTATTTAGCATTTTGATTAACCACCATTAAAAGAAAAAAGATTCAGATTTTGGTTTTACTTATCGTTCTCATTTCCCGAACTCCCTAATCCAAATATAACTGCTCAGGACTATTTCTTTCAGATATGACATAGCAGCAATACGAAAATGTAAACATGATCGCTCAGTCTGCATTTTCCACATCTAGCTGTGGTATTCATTTCAATTGTTTTGTCTGGTATATGCATGCCTACATGATTCTTAAGTAGTTGTACCACCTCTTGATGGAGGTCCAAGTCTTTGCTATGTGGAACACATGCTGATAACACAACACCCACACAAGCATGCACGTGCACAGAAAGCAGCATGTGCATACATACTCACAGGCTCGCACTCAAGCATAATCTCTCTCTCTCCATGTCTGCTAATTCTCATTTAGCAGGTTGTACCGGCATAACATGTAGCTGATTATGGTGATTTTCTAGCAATAAGCATGCAGAGAACCATGAAATATCTGAAAGCAAGTCTGTTGGTGAAAGTGAGAGATTCAGCACAATTGCTATATGCAGAACTTATTGTTCCTTCTGGAAGCCATGATTGTGAAATGCCTACCTCAAGGGCTTGAGCAAGTTAAGTTTCTCAACTCTATGCAGCCAGTTGAGCTTATATATACAAGCAAAAGCAATAAATATGCTTGTAATTGTTAATTTCACGGGTACTATGAAATTTTAGTTAGTTTTTGCTCAATTCATTCTCTGCTTATACCCTCATTGGCTGTCCTGCCTTCTCGTCTCAACGCCACAGGCCCCTCTCTGCCTCTCCATGTTCTCCTGAAGCAATTTTTGGAATGATTGTGGGGTGTTGATTTTTTGTAATAAACTTTTCATTGATGCCGAAGTATAAGCCTCATTTGTTATGCGAAAAATATGCTTTTGAAATGGTCGAAGCACACTTTATCCTTGAATGTAGGCAATGTTAAGACTTTTAACAGTTTCTTTAGCTAAAAGAAGTAATAAAAGAGTATTTGTAAAATTTGTAGCACAACTTTTTTAACTGACCAACAAATGTAACAAAAGCATTTAAAAATACAAAAGAAGAATTGTAAACTGATGCATGCAAGGATACAAAAGGAAAATTGAGCATGTATTGAAAACTGCAGTGTCTAGAAACTGAAATGTACATTTGCAGTCAAATACAGGAACTAGAGCTCTAGCAAAATCCTCCTGCAAGAACACTTATTTGCCAAGTAACAAGATTCAGAAGCACAAAAGAATCATTCTTGCACACTGTTAACTGTTAAACTAATGAGAAGCTAAGATCAGCTCACCCAAACTAATGTAGTTTGGGTCATTTGGACAGAAACCAAAAATATATACTTTGGCTTAACATAGACCAGTAACATACTCTTAACATTTGACATTGTATCTTAAATAAGCTGTATGCCAATATATCCATTTTCAGGCAGGAACTGCTTTGAAAATGTAACCTGCCTAAAAAGATAGGTAGTCCCTTGCAGCAAAGTGTGAAATTCATGACAATCCAGTGTGAATTGCATATTTCCACTATTTATTGCAGAGAGAATCAACGACCTCTGGATTGTTCAATCAATCAGTAGGTATTTGTTGAATGAGGAGTCCAAAGTGTTTAGTACTTGGCAGTTGGTAGGGGAATTAAACCAATACAGCACATCCTCTCAGGAGAGCTTTACAAATTGTGCATTTTCCTCTGACATTCTTGTGGGTGTGGGGCAAGTACAGTTGAGGTTTTTGTGTGGTTGTCCGATTGTTGTATATTTTACATGATCTGGTGTACATTAACATTGATATATTGTACATAAAATCAATAAATGAACACAACTACGTCTATACACGTATTCCAACTTCTAAAAGAAATCATCCAAATCTTAATTGCATCTGCCCCAATATTGAATGCCTTGTGAACAAAGTAGATCCAAATAGATTATCCAAAATTAGCAACTAGACTATGCTTCTTGCTTTGATTCATAAGAAGATTTAATGGTGTAATGAAACAGATTCAAAAATCCTGTAATGGATTTTGAGCAATATCACAAGATCTCTTATGCTGAATCTCAACAGAGATGACAATAGCCACAAATTGAGTTGAAACGGTCATAAGAAAGAGAGAAATGGCTAAAAATATGGATTAGTGATCAGATAATTTTGACGTTGAAGAAACAAAGGTTTTGTTATCAACAAGAAGAATCTCATCAGGCCTGATGCTTCTTCCCTCGAGGAAATTGGAGTACCAATGTGCAGAGAGCTTTGGGTATCTTCTCAATTGCTTGTCATCCAAATCAACGTAGTACAGGCCATAACCAGTCTGATAGCCACCGAGTAACTCTAAAACATCTAAGAAAGACCATACGAAGTAGCCTTTGGTGTTTGATCCATTTCTTCCATCATTTCAAGGTGAAAGAACAGAACAGGTCAGCAAAGTGTAGTGAAATTGCAAGAAAGAGTCAGTTATGCAGTAAGATGTAAAGCAATAGACAGAACATGCAAAAAAAAAAAAAAAAAAAAAAGTAGATGTGATATATGCGTGGCTGCTTACTTTATAGCATCGAGCAAAGTCCCGATACATAAACGCATATATTGCACCCTTGGTGTGTCGATTAGTGTTCCATTGCGCTTGGTTCCTACACCTATCAAGACCAGTCATCCAAAGAGATTCTAAAACTGTTTTGCGATCGTGGTTAAAAAGAATCAGAGAGAAAGAAACACATGCTATATATCTTTGTTCAAACATCAACTGATAATAATTTGATCAGGAGAAAGTTACAAATTAAAGCAGAGCTTAGCAGCAAAGGAAAAAAAAAATGCATGAGTAGAAAAGCATTGCATGTTTGGTAGCTGAATAGAGTTGGCAGTTGCAACCATGCATACATATTCCGAATGGAAATGAAAATTCTCGAGCATCATAGCTGATGAGGCTATTTTTTCTTTCTTTTTTTTTGGGCTAATTGATGGTGTTTGATTAGGTTGGCAGATTTCTTGTCAAAGTTATTGCTTCATTCGTCATTCTTGATTTAAAAGAAAAAAAAGATGCAGTACCGTGTTAAGCATTTGATTGAATCAGGACATTGGTACCACGCAAAGTAGCAGAGACAAATATGCTGAAACTGTGTATATGTCTGTTTGTGTGTTGTGTGTGTGTGTAAGAGAGAGAGAGAGAGAGAGAGAGAGAGAGAGAGAGAGAGAGAGAGAACCATTTTCTTGGACGTAAATAGGTGGATTGGCATAAACTTTCTTGACATACTCCAAAAGTGCAAAAAGACCGGATGCTTCAACTTCATTCTGTGCCAAACAAGATGGTTAATAATAGTAATCGAAAATGATGGACAGAATATCATGAAATTAAACTCTTAACCTCACCTCATTCTGTGGTGCATCTTCTGGCTCAACTGAAGAAAACCAAAAACGGATACAGAAATTAGTTCAACTCAATCACAAAATCTATAGGACCAAAAAAGTCATCACAGAGATCTAGATTTTGAGAAATTAAGCATTACAGAGTACAGACACTTAAAGATGAAACTAAGGCTGTACACAAGTTCTCAAGAACTAAGTAACAGAGAACAAACATGATGGGTTAGCAATAGGATGTGACTAGTTGATTCACTAGGCTGAATGGAATTCAATGAGCAAAAAGTAATTCAAGCCCACAATAAATGAATACATACAGAAGATGTTTAGTGCCATATCAGCAGTTATGTCCCTGATATTCATATTAAGGCTGCTAGGATTGTCCCTGACATAGAATATGAAATAATAATTCAACGCTATAAAGTCAAATGAGCCCTTAATTAGCTTAGATTCACGCGGAGTAAGTGCTGGAATCCTCTTGCCAGCATTCTTCTTTACAATGTCAGGATAGTCTCCGAAAACCAATGGATGGAGGAACCTGCAGTGGAATTGTGGATAAACCATAATATAAGCTCATCTTTTTGCTTCAAGTAGCAAAGCAAAGAAAGCATCTTGCTATTTGTTAGGGATGATGATATGCAATGGTACTTATCCACCAAAAATTCATAACTCACCAACCGAGGTAAAAATCAATGGCTCTTTGAGTTGCAATTACATCTTCTGTAGCATTAGAATATGGAGAAAACCAAGGAGCCAAGAGGTTTAGTCCCACAAAACCATGTTGAATGGCCTGCAAACGGGCATAAATTTCTGTTATTCAACTTACTTCCCATAATATTTCCGCAGATATTAAGATCAAGAAATGGAACTACCAATGAGAATTTCAAAGAGAAATGTCAATGCCTTATCAGCCTATTCTTCTTTAGCAGATGAAAGGTGGGAACTCATTGATCAGGTTGCATCGTACCCAGTAAGAATGACGGAAGGGGGCTTACCCATAGGATTGCCTTTCCGTTCCCAACTATATACTATGCTACCTCTATGTCAATCCCTAGTGGCAACCTGTGGAGTACTTAATCTATAGTCAGTAAAATCCCGTGCCGAACTAGGTTTTCTTTTTCCTACAAGACAGGTGCAAACAGACTGAACATTGACATTCCAACTTAAAAGTAAATTGTTATATGCATGATTAAAATCAAAATAGGTCACAGATATATTTGGAACTGCAACTCTTCCAAAGCAAATGACTAGATAAGATTCAGATTGTAGCCCAAATGACTCAAAATAGCTAAGAGACATGGATTGTACTATGTGATACAACTATATACTATGAGAAGTACTATAAATGGGTAAGATAAAACGTCAATATTGACAATTAAACTAGAAAAGCAAATACCATTTGCAACCCTAGTTAGTAGTTCTTCCATCTATGACTACTAGACAAGATTCGTGGAGTCACCTCGGTTCATCCAGAGAAGTATCATGTATGTGGTTGGACTATGAATTTTTCAAAAACCAAGAGTTCACTAAGTCTAGTGCCAAATTAAATTTTCATCATTGTAGTGGCACTATCAAGACGCAAAACACCAGATTATGTGAGAAAATTATGAAATAAGATCTCACAGTAGTACCTTATACTTTGTGTGATATAGCTTCACAACAGATGAATGTGCCAGCAGCAAGTTATGACCAGCAATATATGGCTCAGTTGAGGAATTACCCTCGGTACACATCAGTCCAAATGGCAGAGAGCAGCGCCCTGGGGGACTAATTCCATTATCATAACCGCCAATGGCAAATATATTGGCCTCATTTAAGGTAGTCCAATGCAAAACCCTGTCTCCAAATTCCTTGAAGCATACATCAGCAAAGGCAGTAAAGTCTCTCCTGAAGTCACGGATGAATGATTCTTTAAATTTAATCATGTAATAACTATATATACTTCACAGTGGAAACCATGTATTGAACAAGCTTAAGTATGAATGGATCAAAATAACAGCTATCAAATGCTTACACCATTTTCAGACTAAGCCATCCCCCATATTCATCTTCAAGAACTTGAGGGCTATCAAAGTGAAACAGTGTGACATGTGGTTGAATTCCTGTGTGTCATCAGACAGCAAAAGTGTTAAAAACATAAATGTGTTGCGATGAAAAACGTGGATAGATCGATTGACAAAAGCATTTTGGACGTTTAAATGTCCATGCTTTTGTGAGATAGATGTTTGATCTGATATTATCTCATTTAGGCAAGATTTCACACTCACAGAGTGCCTATCAAGTGCATAGTTATTGAACAGAAAAAGCTTACTATGCATGAGGAGTTCATTGATGAGATTGTTGTAATATTCTAAACCCTTGGGGTTGACATGACCTCTTCCATCTGAAAAGACAAAAAAGGAAACCAAGTATGAGAAGAAAGGAATAAAATGTGCAATGGTCATATGTAGGTAATATAATAGAACTAAACATACTAGGAATAAGTCTTGGCCAGGAAATAGAGAATCTGTAAGCCTCCAAACCTGTGTCAACCATGCGTTGGACATCTTCCTGAAACAGATAAATTTCTTAAAGTGAACTGCGTCCTAATTTTAACAGGATAAGACATGATTTTATCACTTGCTATCAACATATATTGTGCTAATTGTAGAAAGAATCAAATAGCAGGCTATTGAGATCCAAATATCTCATAATGTATACATTCAAGTAGCAGGCCACTGGAGCAGAATCAAGTACTACAGCAGAATGTTTAGAGATACTACTGGATGGAATCAGGAATAGCCTGAGGGGGTGAACATTTAGTCTGATAAGCAGTGATGGTGACAGCTGCTGATAGTGGAAGCAGGTTGTTTTATTTTTCTTAATAAATTTGTGTTTGGTTGCATAATTTTCAAGTAATGTGCACCTACGCTGCTGGAGACTATTTCATTGCTTATCAGCAAACGCTATTATTCGCATGGCCTGAAGATTACAGTTATTAGTATGCAATTGTAAAGCATAGATACTAAGTTGAAAACCGCTTTAGAATCCAGTCTTCAATTTGGTAGGAAAAGGGAAATAATATAGATACGAACTCAATTCATTTTCCAATACTAGTATTAGTTACTTTTGGTATACATCTAAGAATTTTATCTCAATACTTCTGGACCAAGTGTTACAATCTGCTACAATTTGGAAAAATTGAATCACTTAAGCTTCTATTGTGTCAAATTTTTACTACTACAAAATTCACATTCATATATGACCAATTATCATCTGTCACCACAAAAATCATCTGATTGATAATCAATTTCACGGCAGGCTAAACAATATCTAATCCTCTCTTCACAATTTGGGGAATCAGGTACCTTAGCAGTTGTAGTTCCAATTGTGTGAGAGATGTAGAAACTAACAGAATAATGGATGCTGATATTAATAAGTGCAGATACTATTACAACAGGGGTGTATAGGTGCACTGTTCACCCGCCAGTCCGTCAGAATTGTAAAATTTTTTCAACTTTCAATCTCCGCTCCACAAAATTCATTTTGGGAAAATAAACTGAATACCAATTTGGGATCATTAGTTGAACTATTTCATCACTATATTGCAAAAAGCCAAAAGGCTGGAAAGAAATGTCTACCTTATAGTTGTGATACTGATCACATGCGATGTCTCCAATGGCTCCATTAGAAAAACCTGAAAATTTTATTCAACAGTAAAGCTTTACTTGCAGGGAGAGAGAGAGAGAGAGAGAGAGTGGAACAACAAAGAATTTCTTTCAAGAAAACTTAACCTTTATTGGCATGAGCAAAAGTATCCCAAGTGCTAGGAGTCCTTCCATCTTCAAAAGCTGCTCCCTCTACCTATATGATGTTAATCTGTTATTTTCATATCAATGTTATGTATACAGTCACATGCAAGAAAAAAAAAACAGATAGAAAGAGAGTGTTAACTTGATATGCAGAAGTGCCAGCGCCAAAAACAAAGTCAGCTGGGAAGTCTGATCTTGTATAGTTCTCCAGTCCAGCTACTACCATTACATTGTGAAACTGCAACAAAATTAGCACCACAAGTACTAGAATCAGAGGAACGGAAGTAAAATACCTAAGACTCTTCTGATTCTGTTTCAACATGGCGTCAAAATCTGCAGAGATTGTTACTCTGCTACTTTCTATATTATTGTTGGGCTTGATTCATCTCCATTGATTACTTAAACACACATTCAAATATTATCAAATTACAAGAAAACTTGTTTAGCTGCTTAGTGTTTGCTCTTTACTGGGCGGCAGAGTGGGCAACGGCTCTTCAATTCCTAAATATAAAAACAAGGAAAAACTTGACTTGTAGTGAAAGCGTCATTCCACACATCATTCGGCCGGCTGTCCGCCAAACGTGATTGACCAAGTAAAACAAGTAATCTTGCTAGCTAGCTAGTAGAATGCAAATGAAACACATAGTAGTTGGATTAATTTTATGTACATTGGCAATGTAGTATATGCGAGTTTAGTTTGGTTGAGTGCGCGTATGTAGTAAAATAGTGGAAGGGTATAGTAGGGAATATTTTATATACACATTATACGTATGTTTTCAATCAATGACTACTGTTAACAGTACAGTGCAAAAAATACGAGACATATAAATTGATTTTGAATAATATGAATATATTCGAAAGTTATGGAACTAAAAATTAGAGATGAAATTACTATATAATTTTCAAGGATTCTACTACATTAACATTAATTTTTACTCTCATCTTTGTACATGAGACATTAAATAAATTAAAAATTTATAAACTTATTAGATTTATATGCATAAATCTATAAAACTTATATATATATATATATATATATATATATATATCATTGTTATTTTCTATATAATTAGAAAGATGTGCCATTATCTATAAAGAAATTTTAAAACTTTTCCACTTGAAGTATAATTTGTGAAGTACAATACACCAATCATATTGATTCTATCTGAGTTCTTGGAATTGGGAAAAAAAATACGTGTGTTTTTTAAAGTATTTTTAAAATATACGCAATATAGAAGTTTTTTTGAATTATACGTATGAAAGTTAGTTTATTATATGAGTATAATTACAAGATTTTACTATCTAGGATGCGTTGGTGTTTATCCCAATATTTATGAGGAAGTTATAATATTGCTTAATTCATGGATTAATTTTAATGTAATTGAATTTGAATATATTCGTATTGATTATATAATTGTAGGCTAGTTTAGGTACGCGCTTGGAATTTATTACAAATATCGGTGCAATTGCAGCATTACTAAAAACCAAGTGTAGATACTATAATGCAAAATGCGAAAAACGGTATTAGGATTTTCATTAAAAATCTGTCTCCAATTTGCGACATTAGTTAAACTAAGTTATTGAAGTCACAATTTCATCAGTATGCCAGAAAGCAAAAGGGCAGGAAATATATATTTACCTTGTATTTGTGGTACTGATCACATGCTATGTTTCCATTGGCTCCATTAGAAAGACCTGATCGTTTCAAGAGTAAAGCTTTAATTTATATACATAAAAAATAAAATTTACAGCAAAAACAAAAAAATTCAAGAGACACGTACACTTATTGGCATGGACAAAGGTATCCCAAATGCTAGGAGTCCTTCCATCTTCAAGAGCAGGCCCCTCTACCTATATATATGCATATGTTGATTAGTTTACCAAGTTCATGTCACTGCTATGTATATAATCATGTACAAGAAAAAGAACTAGAGAGAGTATTAACTTGATATGAGGAAGTGCCAGCACCAAAAACAAAGTCAGATGGGAAGTCTGATCTTGTATGGTTCTCCACTCTGGCTAGTACCATTACATTCTGAAATTGCAACAGCATTAGCACCACAAGGACCAGAATCAGGAGAGCATCAGTAACATACACAAGACTCCTCTGTTTCTGTTTCAACATGGTGTCAAAATCTGCAGAGCTAGCTCGTTAGTCTGCTATTTCAATATTATCTGTGGGTTGGATTCATTTGTGCTCATGACTTAAATACACATTCCATCCTTCTCAAATGACCGAGAAATCTGATTTGACTGTTTACAAGACAGCAAAGTAGGCAATGCCTTTCGAAGTCACATACAAAATAGGGAAAAAAAATTGACTTGTAGTGGCACAACAACGTCATTCCTTTGATCATTCAACTGGCAATCCATGTCCGCATAATAAATCAAAGCTCAAAAATAAAAATTGTCATATTATTATTTTGCAGTGTTTTAGTTAAGTTAGGTTTTAGTAATTCTATTGGATTAAGTTATGGTAGTTTTATTATTTAGGAATTAGAAATTTATTAGAAAATTTCTTGTGAGTGCAAGACTTGTTTACCAAGTCATCTAGTCTGTAAATATGGTCTTATTGTTATCATCAGTTGAAAAGAGTGAAAGTATAATAAGTTTGTTCTTATAATATTATTGATATTATACTGTTGATTTGTTCCTCTTTCCTTTAGTTCTTTAGTGGAATTTTTTGGATTCTAAAGTCCACCAAATGTGATTTTACCGCAATGAGCAAATGAAATATATGCAATATGCAAATGAATAAGTGTAGTATTTTTGCAAAGGAATAATTATTCAAAACGTCATTTACATTTTGGCAAATGAATTTTTCGTCCTTTATTTTTAAAATGGTAACTTTTCGTTCCTTACAAAATTAAATTAGTAAAATTTGATTCCAACCTAAATTTTTTATCACTTTTTATATTGAATCCATCACGTGACCCACACATAGTCATTTGTTTAGGAGCAAAAAAATTAGATCATATTTGTAGTTAAACAAATTACCCGATCCATATTCATTTTTACCTCTAAAAATGTATGATTTGACCCGAATTGTATTCATTTTTCTCTTTAAAAAGTGGAATCGGACCCAATCCATACTCATTTTTACCACTAAACACGTGAGATATGATCTTTTTATACATAAAAAATGATTGCATATGGGTCACATCATGATTTCAGACTAAAAAATGGTCAGAAACTTATGTTGGAACCAAATTTTGCTAACTTGAATTTGTAAGGAATGTAAAGCTAATATTTTAAAAGTGAAGAACAAAAATTTTTATTTACTAAAATGAGAGGGTAATTTATACTCACCGGATCTATGATTGTGGAAATATGCCCGTGATGATGACTAGAGTCAAAATCACCCAAACTTAATCTTTAAAAGGAAAAAACGAATTTGTGTTTTTGTACATTTTTAATTGTCTATATTCGTTAGTTTAGTATCACAATTCTATCTGTGTGTACGCTAGAAGGTGCGACTATGACTAACATACGGTCCAAACGACAGCAAATGGACGCGAGAAGAAAAACTTCGTATGCACATTAGAATATTTTTTTTTAGTAGTAGAGGAATGGGATTTAAGAAGTAGGGAGGGTGTCAGGAATAGAATTCAGAATATCTAATTTCTGGAGCCTCAATTGCTGAGCTTAATTATCAGAACTATAAAAAATGTTGGGCCTCAACCACTGAACTTAATTATTAGAACTAATAAAAATGCAATCTAAGCACATGGTAACTGAGAACTCAGAACCTCTAATTCCTTATTTCTAGGGGTCTCAACCGCTGAACTTAATTATCAGAATTATAAAAAATGCTGGGTCTCAAACCACTAACTTAATTATCAGAGCTATAAAAATGCAATCTGGGCACATGGCAAATTTTGATTTAATGATGGCTCAGATAAAATAGGATATTCGACCTGTTGATCTGGCTTTGAAGATTACATCCTGGGTTCGTAGGATATTGATTAGTCAGAAATACTCAGAAAGCAATAGTACCTTTACTGTCTTTATGGAAAGGACGGAATGTTAAAGGAAAAACAACCGGAAAGAGACAACACATGGAAAAGAAACCATCCTAGTAGGCCCCTATGTTTGATGTTTCTTTTCTCTGACCGTCTTTTCTTTCTCAACGTTGTGTGTGCTCAAATAGCGAAATCGGTTGAGTACTTCGTACACGAGTATAATTCTAGCAGTAATTTCCCAACTATGAAATTTGGCCCAACAAAATTTTGGGTAACACAATCATTACATATGGGTATTAGATTATATTTCTGCAGAATCATCCCTCACAACTTTTTTTATCTATGTAATGTGCACAATAACACTTCTATGTTTTTTGTGTGTTCTTCGAGGTACTTTAGAAATTTACTATACATTTTGTGCTTTAAAAACATTATTTGAAAGGAAAAAAAAAAGTTAATCCTAGCAGATTCAAAGTTAATTGTATATTTTTTTATACATACATATATATACACACACTAGTAATAATGTATGTGCGTTGCACGTAGTTGTATAATATGTAGTTTCATTATTTTGTATTGGACTTTATATTGTTCGCTCGATGTATGTTTTTTTTTAATGTATTTACCTTTGTAGTGTAGATTTTGGAATAGAAGTAAGGTTGGAAAAAAAGGTGTTACAAAATTTTAAAAAGTGAGCAATATAAATCAACGTTAGAAGGACACAAGGAGAAAGAGTAATCATCAGTGGTTTAATCTTTCACTACTTTTAGGGTAAAAAATAAAAAAGCCCCCTGTGGTAAACCTAATACACAGAAAAGCACCCCGTGGTTTCAAAATATACAACACGACTCCTCATACTTTGAACTAAATTGTAAAGGTGACGGAATCCGTTAAACTTAACGGAAATGGTCAAAATGACCAAAATACCCTGATATAATTAAGCAAAAGACAGCTCAAAAAAATCATTTGTTTTATTTTCTAAATAGAGAGAATTGAGGGTTAAGGGGTAGAATTGGTATATTTGATAAAAAAATAGGTATAAAAAATTTTTTTTAGGTTCCAATAAGTCATTTCCGTTAAGTTTAACGGATTCCGTCACTTTTACAATTTAGTTCAAAGCATGAGATGTCGTATTGTATATTTTGAAACTATAGGGGGCTTTTCTGTTTATTAGGCTTACCACAGGGGGCTTTTTTGTTTTTAACCCCTACTTTTATTTTCTTTTTCAATTGAGTTTTGAGCTTGAAGCATCACTTCTTGCCGTCCCTTTTTTGGTTTTCAAGCATTGTATTAGAACATCATCTTCGATTTTGATTGCATTTGATTTTTTGTTATTTAGTGTGTTTTGCTGAGCATGTTGTTCAGATGCAACAGCTGGAGCGGCGTCTTCATCTCTAACTATGTTTGGTAGTTGCTTGAATGCAATTGCAACCATTGATAGGTTTCCATTAGAGGATTGACCAATCTTGTTCAACTTAATGAGGAATTTGAACTCCTTATGCTTTGTGGTGACCATTTTCCTATACAACTTTGATTTCCCCTTGTCCTGTTCAATTTTCAATTTTGTAGATTAGATGGATTCGAATTAAATGTACATAACTAATAAGTGGTGCCATTTTTAGAATTGTAATATAATAATTTTAAGGAACTTACCTTGGTAGATGTAGTACTCTCTATATATTTTTGAATTGGACATCCAATTAAACTAGTAGCAAAATCCTCAAATAATATTATTGTTGCTATGTCACGTCCATCAGCGACTTCCATCTTTATATTGTACCTATTGTTAAAATGTTGTTAATTGTGTGGTTCTTTTTTTTCTTTTTTAATTCAAGATTTTATATCATGAAATTAATTAAATGGCTAAACTTGGTGTAGAATATTTTGCTGAATAGTAACATTTGGGGCATTGTGCATCTTCTTCTAAGTTCATAATTTTGATCTACATTCTTTGCAAGCATTGTAGTATGGTTCCACTTTGTTGTCTATGTCATTAACAATTGCATTGAATATGTAGAAAGCATGCTGAAGAAGAAGGTACATTGTTATTTTTTTTACGATATATGCTAATGTGTTTTTTTGGAAGGGATTTTCTAAATTAAAGAATCGTAGGGGAATAAATTTACCCCTTTCAATGAATGTTATTAATGAATAATGTGTTTCAGTTGAATGTGCTTGGCTAAGTTCATTTTGTTCTTCAAAATCATGGCTTCAATATTTTCACTTTTCTTTGAAGTAATCCTGTATAAGTTTTGAGTATGGTAATTGAAAGCATTCAATGTTTTTTGGGAATACAAAAGTTAGAAAAATTTGTGATTATACCACTTTTGAAGCTTCGCCGCCTCCTTGCAATTTGGGTTGACTTGTATAGTTGACAAAAAAGTTGTCAACAGTTGAAACTCTCTTAGAATATGTTGAAATATTAAGTTGTATATATGACACAAGTTTTTCTTCTTTTTTTGCCTTTTTTTTTTTACATTGGTATTTACATAGTTGGAATTGCATTGTTGCAATTGTTGGTTTTTGAGATTTTTTTGTAGAAATTACCCTTCGTTAACCGCCACATCTTCCCACAAGATAATTTTCATGGCGTCAAGCCTAAAGTTTGAAAATACATTTTAATATTACCATGTTAGTGATGAAGTAACAATGATGGAGTCGTAAACAATATTTGAAATGTGAAATAAAACATAGAAAGGAAACTAAATTTAATTGAGAATAGTTTTAGCAAGAATTAGAATTGAACTATTAGGTACTCAAACCTAATCATGAACACTTATATAAAGGTAAAAGTGAAATTAGAAGCATGTTTTTGAATGCTTGAGGCTTCAAATAATGGACCAAAATTATAATTAGAAACTTTGGTGAATGATAAGCATATGAAGAGTATTGTAAATTATATGACGATAATCCCATATACTTATTGATAGGGGGAACATCTCGAAAGAATCCACCAAAGAATTCAATATGTAAGTTAGGAACCCAACTCTGATCCAAAAGTTTAAGCCATTAGGTTTTGGACCCTTACTTACATATTAACTGCTCTTTCTCCATTTCTCGGACCAATGTGGGATACAACCATTTACTCATGAACCTAAGAAATCTCCCCCTTCATGAGTAACCACACATTAAACCCAAATTTACAATCCCTTCGTCGATCCCATTGTAATACTCAAC